GCCGTTTTTCTCGCAATGCACGGCTCAAACGAATCAATTGTAGCCGATACCGATCGCCCGTAATGGAATCGCCAGGGTTCAGCAACTCATAGTAAACAACACCCTTTTGGTCCCACCAGATACAGAGCATGATCTTCGAACCATGAATGTTCGGCTATGATGTTAATGTTGAGATCGATGGCAACGATTGACCGGGTTTAGCGTAATATTTTTTTCTTCTTTGGGTTGTCGTAGAATATCTATTTCTCATCTCCAGTCACAATCCGATGCAAAAAATTTTCTTTGTTGTCTTTGAATCAACTGTTCGCAAGTGAAAAATCGCCTTTCAACGTCTCTCGGTTTCAGTTCATAAAGCCAATTTCCTTGTTTTTCAATTATTCCCATGGCTCTCAATCGTGCAGAAACGGCTTGTTGAGTTACTCCCAATGATTCTGCAAGCTCCTCTTGCGTTTGACTCTGATCTTCTTTGAGTAATGCTCTAATTTTTTGTCTTCGAATTTTTTTGGCTGTCCAGAGCGAGGCTTGTCTTCAACACTGAAATCTCCATCCTTGAAACGTCAAAACCATTCCCTACATGATTTATCAGTTGAAACAATGTCACCATAAACTTCGACAAGCATTCGATAGGCTTCAGCTGCACTTTTCTTCCAATTAAAGCAGAAAATTAGAACCTCCCGCAAATGCTGCTTGGTTAACACAAAATTTGACATTTCAAACAGTAAAAATCAAGGTTTTTGTAAGAAACTCAAAGCGATATAAACTGAATATTATTAGCAGATGTCTAACCTCTCTAACAAAACGCCAAAATCAGTTGTCACTATGAACCATTCACAACAGCCGGAACCATCTTTTGGAAAATGAACCGAACTAATTTGTTAGCCCAATAATATATTTTTACTCTAATTTGATTACTTATTTCCGATCTCATACCTTACACGTCAACTTCTTGGAGATGGAATTTATGAACGCGATATATAACGAGTATGGAAAATCATAAACAATTAATCACTCGTTAACTATCGTTTTGACGTAATTTATAATATTCTGGATTAATGAGAGAGGTATGAGTAAAAAGTATATGGTTATATATTACAATTTATTAAAAGTTATATGTTATCTAGATCGACAGGGGAATACTTGACTGTAGTTGATTGGTTCTTACATTCTGATCCGGATTAAATCCTCGGTAGAAACTAGACCACTGTCGGGGACGCGCAGGCACCGGAGGCCCGGAGGTGATAAGCTTTATCGAATCCTAATTGGTCACGAGCCATCTTGCGAATCCCGCGAGTCTTCGCGAGTCGCTACAGCATCATGTGCCCGATATCCTTGCGCGCGGGATATGACCTATGGCTGGTATCTTTTTGATTATTTGTTATGCCTCCCCTCTGAATCATCCTTGCAGGAGTCATTAGTATTTGATGGATTCCTTTTTCGGACAATCTTCGCAAACGAATTCAATGTCTTCTTTTGGATTCCCTTATGGCATCAACAGCGGGTTCGTACTATGGCAAAGAGTAGACCCTTATGTCGCTTTAGCCGCTTCTTTTTTAATAACTGCCTATAAAAAATTCGGTGACAGGATAACAAATTATACACAGGGTGTTTATGCAAAAATTCAGAACGGTATTACCTATGCGCTATCCTTCCTCTGAGTGGCCTCGTGCCTCCAATATAAGTCTTCTATTTTTTTTTCTTATCGCCAGTTGAAGTGGTGAGACGGTACCTTATACGAGAAATTATATACCGGAATTGCCGACTATCCTAAATCAACTCGTAAACAATAATAATATTTCACGAAACGCAATAGCAAACGCCGCTCGAAAATTGCGATAAGCGCAGCATGTCTGTCCACGTTGGAAGGACACAGGACGAAAATGCCGCGCTATTTTGGTCAGGTCGGATGACCTTTGTGACGGACGATGAAAAACATTACAATAGTAGTGTGATTTATTAAACAGAAAATGTTTATTTATTGTTTCAAGATCATTTCCGAATGTCGCGAGAGATGTGCTATGAAATAATAGAGAAATTTAAAAGGTCAACATTTTATAGTGTACAATGGTTTTAATATGCATCAATGTACACCAGTGTTCTCATTCGAAATCGCTAAATGAAAAGTTCTATTTATAAATCCAATCAATTATATTCAATATTTCGGCAAACAGGCTAGCAGCTTTGATCAGCTTAAACACGACTGATCAATATATCATTTGTTTGTGTGTGAGAGAATATTCTAAAAATTTAAATCGTTGTGATCTACTAACTAAACATGATGACATTTCGAAAGAAGACGATTGAAGGTTTGATAAATGAAAGCAGAGAGAGGGGGGAGGGGGGAGAGAGAGAGAGAGAGAGACGTGTATTATTAATACTATAAATTATAAAAGATTTTTATTTTAAATAAACTGTACATTTCTCTGACGTGTTTTTGTTTTAGGTAAATGTTCACATAAGATCATAATCTCTTCGAAGGTCAATGATCTTGATGTATATTGTTTAATAGATCTAAAAAAAGTATTTTTATATTGTACTGATCTATTTATAAAATACGCATTTGTATCATTAACATTTTTCTAATATTTTCCCAATATTTTTGCAATATTTCTTCAATGTTTCTCCAGAATAATTACCATATGCTGCGAAATACTGAACGAGTCAGCCGTCTTTTTCGCCACGGTCGCTCAATTCCGGTACTTTATTAGTACTCGAACCTTACCGTTGTCCGACTGGGTCCCCTATGATATCTCGTCAACGACCGCTTTCTGGGCTACTATGTTGCACCAAACTATCGGATTAATTATATGTGCTAATGCCAGCGTTGCCCACGAAACTCTCATATCTGGTTTTATGATTCAAACCTGCGCCCAGCTAGATATACTCTGCTATCGCGCTCGTATGTTGCCGAGTTCGCTACGAGAAGCCCAGAAATGCAGCATCTCGAAGGAAGACTTCAAGGCGCGAGAACAGCGACTAATTCGCGAGCTCATTCATCATCATCGCTTCGTATACAGGTAAAGATAAGAATTTATTTGCTCGTAAAAAAGAAAAGAAATATACAGGATGGTTCGTATTTAAATGGCTAAACTTCAGGAGCGTATAGGGAATCAATAAACTAAAAAAAAATTTTTTTAGAGATATACTCGGTTTTGGAAAAAATAATAAAAAATACAAAATGTAATTTTTGGAATATTATTGTTTTCGTGTACAAATTCAGCGATAATGCAGTACGAGAGTATATGCGCCGATTTCCAAACAGAAGAATGCTTTTTTTACTTAGTTTATCGATTTCCTACACGCCCCCTATATTTAATTATTTATATTCGAGACTATATGTATATATGTATATATGTATATGTATATATGTATAAGAAAAATATATACTACGTGTTAAAAGTTCCGGAATGATATTTATCGTGGTTTACTAAAAAAATGTTTCGCACAAAAAAATGTAAAGTTTCAACAAATGCACCAAATACCCATTTGATCTTGACCATAAGTGGAGGAGTAAAGGAATTCTCAAAGTTAACTTATAATTTTTAATTCTCCTTTTGATCAATGTTCTTATAATCATCAAAATCTTTTTTAAACACTACAATAAAATTCCTTTTATTTAAGGAGATCCTAAAGTCATTTTTATTACTGTCTAAATCATATAATTTTTGTATAACAATTACTTATTTCCTTTTTTACTGATTTAAAAATTCTTTTCCAACATTAAAGTATACGCATTAATCCGAGAGTGTACACTTGGGATGTTTTTTACACCCCAGCGTCAGAAAAACGAAGCTCATGTTACAAGTTTACTTTATTGATCGGAGATCTACCTTCCGATCTAAGTTTACAGAACATATAACAGACAGTGTGTATCATGCATTTATTCGTGGTAATAACATAATGAAATCTTCTGGAGTGTAAAAAAACACCTCAAATGTGATCATTTATGTATTAATTATGTAAAATTATGTAAATTATGTAAAAAAAGTTCAAATATGGTAAGAATGTATAATTTCAAAATATAGAACATAAGTTAAATAGCATGAAATGAGGTTTATAATCCATTACAGCACCGATTAGGATGAAAAATTTTCAGAAATGTTCAACTTTTTATTAGGTGTTGGAATTAATTCGTAGCGTTTTACAAGTGATGGGAAGTACTTTCATTAATGTATTTTTTAATGCTCATGTGAAATAAATAACATTCTTTCATTAAAAACGCTACGAATTAATTCCAACACCAATACATCTCATGTGCAACAATTCCGAAAGGATTTTGCAATATGTTAAATGTTTTAACATAAATGTTTCTAAAATCTATCATGTGTAGATTGTGTGCAAATTGAAAAACATACTTAAATAGAATAAAAAAATCATGATATTAAAATAGCTCCAAAATGTTTACCAAAAATCATTTTTTTGATCAATCACGATTTAGTTTAACGTACTTGATACTTGTCCTACATTAATTTCGAAAAACTTTCGTGTATGAATGATTCATTCTGCTTTAATTGCGAAAAATTTTGTATATGAATAATTATATTATGTGAAATCTGCAATTTGATTTTTTAATAGTGATTATATATAAGTGCTTTTTATACATATAATATAATTAATTAATAATAAATGAACATATTGACAAAAGGCTCTCTAATAACAAAAATTAACAATTTATAGAAGTACAGAATACCCTAATAGCACGGAAAGTTTCAGTTATGTTGCAGAGACTTTTCAATGTCTCGATTGTGTATTATCACATTTGTAATATTTTTGAGACTATCTTCTTTGAAATATTACATTTCTGCAATTATTTTGATTGAAACCTTATGTTTGAAATGTTTCCTGTAATATTCTTTCAACATTGCAAATACAAAGTTCCTGAGAAATTGCTAAAATTCTCAATTAATAAATGCAGAGTATATATATTATATGGATCAATCATACTGATATATGTTCACACATACTCACGCGCGCGCGCACATATATTGATAATTTATTACTTTTAATAAAAAGGTTGTAAATAAAAAGGTTGTAACTTATTACTTTTAATAAAAAGGTTGTAAATTAGTCATTATTGCGATAAAAAAATACATTATGTTTTGTATTGATAAGAAGTCAAGTTTCTGAAATATTATAATACTAAATCACCGGATTTTTTACCAGAGGTCTAAATTAAATTTGTTTATTCAACACTTAATTTGCAAGGAATTTTTCAAACAATCTAATACGCGATCATAGACATACTATCTCTAGACCGAGCATTGTCATAAATTTGAGGAGTGGAGATAGTCCTCATTCACAAAAAACGTATTTATTTGGCCCAAGTGCGTTCTTTCTCGTTTCGCATGCATCTGTAAGAGAGGGGATTAAAAACATGAAAAAGCTCAGTAGGCTAACATGGCTAACAAAAATTTGAAATAACGCAACATTCACGTGCGTTCTCTCTCGTTTCGCGCATGCGTATAAAGTGTATCACTGAGAGGGGATCGAAAGAGAAAACGAGGAATTGAAATATAACAGCTTACAGCTTCAGGTCGGCTAAGAGATATCTGGTATATGCTCTGTGAGAGTTTCTCGATGAGCGCGAACCGGGACGGATGTATTTTGTCTCGGGTTGGGTGTTGCGTCATTCCAAATTTTTGTTAGCCACGTTAGCCTGCCGAGCTTCTTTATGCTTTCGATCCCCTCTCTTACAGATACATTTTACATGCATGCGCGAAACGAGAGAGAACGCACTTGGATCAAATCAAAGAGAATCAAGGGAGAGTGCAGCGGAGAGTGTTCTCTTCTCTGATTGGTTCCGCCACTTATTGTGCACTTCAGTACATACATACGTTATATATACATACACATAATATTAGTGCGATACAATATTAATGTGTATAGCACCGTATGTGTTCCATCACGCTCCTACCATATCTCCTACTCACTCCAATGGTGTGATCCGTTCCATTCTTTCTTGATTTTCTCTGGATCAAGTGAGTGCGTCCTTTTCTAAATGAGGACTATTCCCATTTCTCGAATGCGCTAGAGAGTCTAGAGATACTAGACATAGATGTCTATGTACGCGATATTATACAAAAGATCTATTACTTTTATTTTTTTTTCTAGCTTTTTGTTGGCGATATAATGATATATCATTACATATATGTAGCTTCTGTTAATGAATCCTGTCTGCCGGCACTGATTTTATACGTTTAGAGTGCCTCTAGTTCTGGTTACGAGGTTGGGAACGAGGTTTTATCTAGAGAAAAATATATATAATTATAGATCTGGAGTGATTAATCTCCATAACTGACACGCAATAATCTAAGAGAGAAAACTATAAATAAAATAATCTAATATCTTTCAATATGCATCTTCTTCTTTTTTATTTTCTATATAAGTTCTTATAAAAGTTATTTGCATGCTAAAAAATCATAGATCCCTTTTATATCGTACTCTGCAGCCGGGGTACTCGTCAGTACTCGTTGGTGGGTGCAACCGGCTGAGGATGCCAGTGTAGGTGCTAAGCGCGTCTCGTACGATGGGCTGCGGAGCCGCTCAAATGTTCCGAGGTCTGGAATTACTGGTGAGAGTAATCCGGCGTATCCGCGACGGCGTCTCTTCCGAAGTGGTACGTCGGGTAGGCGGTTTGTTCACCGTGGGTCTTCGTTATCACGGTGGCTAGAATGCGGAGGGAGCATCACCTCCGAGACTCGAACGCGGGTCCCCTGTGTGGCGCCACCCGCAGCAATACCTTCGAATCGGAGACGAGGAACCCCTGTTAGTCTGAATTCGCCCACCCAGAGTGAGAGGGTCCGGAGTTCAATGCCATGTCTCTGGGGAGGTGAGGGTACGTCTGGCTGGCGGAGCTGCTGCGAGGAGTGAGAACGTATTCTACAATGACAGATTCCATTTCAAACGAATATTATAATGATAATAGGGAGGAGGTGCGAACGTCGGAGAGAAGCGTGGTTCGCCGTCAACCTCAAGGGCTCCGTCGCTACCGTCGATGGAGGTGGATGACGTGGAGTTACCCACGATGTCGTTGCGGTCAACAGGCGACGCACGGCACTTTTTGCATGCGTGCCTCAATTTCCAAAGACCGTTATCCGAAATTGAAAGACCGTTCTCGGAAATTGAAATGATGTTAGCGAGTTTCGCAAAAGAAGAATCGCTCCAATTCCAAGCGGGCAAGGAGGAAGAGCAATGGAGAATTCCGATGATACACTCCACGGAAGTTCCGTTGGAGCTAGACGTTGGACCGATCGAGATCGATTACGGTATCTCCCTCGGTTTGTTGATCAGAACGGATATTGATTCCATCATAAATCAGACCATCAAGCCTTTTATCTGCTCGTTTTTCATGAAAATAGACACGAAAGTAGCATATCTATGTATATTCTAAGCCATGGGGCAAGCCGCGGGATGAGGGGCCGGGGGGAAAACTGGGCGAAAGGAGTATTGTGGTGCGGGGGGGGCAGCCAATGAGCGAGCTGCTATGGCCTCCCACCACCTCTCGCGGTTTTCCTCCCCGGCCCCCGTCCCCACGGGCGCATGTGTGTGTGAGCTGGTAACGTCACGGCGTAACGCGTCGCGACGACGACGATCCGGCGAGCTTGAGATTCGCGCGTTTTTTCTTCCCGCGTGTGCGCCGTCACTCTCGCTCGCACCAACGGGTTTCTCACTCGCTGTAAATATAATATAATAATGTAATCTTACCTCCTTAAAGATACGGTCCCCCATTTTTGCCGTCGCTCTCGCTCGCACCAAGTCGCTCTCGCTCGCACCAACGTTTTCGTTGCTTTCGATCGTTGTTAGTGTAATAGTAATAAAAAAAGGATAGCGAAATAATAATAATAATTCATAATTTTGTCTGTTACTCAGTTTTATGTATGTTTCTTCCCGCGTGCGCTGTCGCTCTCGCTCGCACCAAGTCGCGTTCGATCGCTGTTAATTTAATAGTAATAAAAAGGGATAGCGAAATAATAATAATAATCCATTATTTTATCCGTTACGCAGTTTTATGTATGTT